TCTTGATAAATTCTTATAAGAAATGTAACGTACTTTCCAAACTGCAATAATATTGAGGGGTAACTATTATTTTTTTTCAGTTACACTACCGTTGTAGCACCACGTAGAATGTGTTTCATGGAGGTACGAATGTCGTTCAATACGTGCTAGGGTACAATCTATAGGTCCCGGATTGCGATCTAGCGTAGGTGCTGGGGAAATACGGAAAGGTTAAGCGTATCAGCCGGGAGATTTGTCCTGCGGAGCTGGGCCTTCAATTGCACACAGGTGTTTGAGGCGTATACATGGACGTGGACGTTCATTTCGTCAATCGGAAAGGAAAGATTTTCAGCGACAGAATCTTGAGATGCATGTAAGATGGAGGGCACCGAAAGAATTCGTGTCCCAAGCGGATGGTCTGGAAGCAACCGGACAAGTCAAAACAAAAACAGATCGAAGAACACAGCAGTACGTACGCTGGTGCACTATGGGACATAAATTAAAATGTTGTGACAATATCAAAAATGTTTTTTGCTGACCAATCGGCATTTTCCTACTAGTCGATCAATAGGTTACCGAAATCAATTCTGGGGACATTTTTAATTTAATTGTGCTTGTCTTTTTTTAAACATGGTGATATCGTGGACCCCCAGTAATCTAATCGTTCTTAATCTGAACACTTTTTAATATGAACCCTGCTAATTTGTAAGACGTGCAAACTAAAAATTGCTCAAATGCCATTCATTGTATGAAAAGGAGGAAAACGAAATGTAACATTACAAAACGGAACGCAGTATTAAAACGAAACAGCAAACAATGGTACCAGAAACATGCTTTTCTGATAAATATGCATTAAGTGAAAAAAGTAAAAAAAAAAATGCATTATTTTTTTTACTTTTCTGCAACAAGTTTCTGCACATATCTGTAGATAAAGTAAGCAGGGTAATTTAAATCAAGCATATAATTTGAAGTTTTTCTACATTTTCTCCCAAGTTTTTAGATTTAACCATTTTATTCTTTAGCAGAAGATCATGTTCTACATCATAAAAAATGGAAGTTTGTTAATGAAAACAATAAAATATAATGAAGAAAATTTTACTCGCAATTTAATCATAACATTTTTTAAATTTCCAAACAACTCGGAAACGGCAGGCTGCGGAACTTTGGTGTCTTCAAAAGAGCTGCTAATTTTTTTAAAGATAAATCACTTTTATAAAGATATTCAGTTTCTAAAATATCAGAGTAAAAAGTAAGATCGTGGCGCCATCTCTGCGGGTGAGATGCGAACTATTTATGCCAATAGATAGTTTTAGTTGTAACGAGAAACTTCTTCGACGGTACCAACCCTAATCCCCGTCAAATCGGAGAAACTCGACCTTCTACGATTTGCATAATTATGGGTTATTGGCAATCATTCACATTTTTGCTCAAGTCTGCCCATTTTGGATCTTGCAATTGTTATCAAAATTACGTCTTTGTAATTTTTCAATATATTGTAGCACAAAAAGTCACTTGTGGTCGAAATGACGACTGAGACATAGTTGTAGAAAAAAATAAATTCTTTCCGGGAAAAATGTACACGGTATTTTTGATTAGTAATTTTGAGTTAAAATAACAAAAAAGTGTTTCAAACTTACACATCTCCAAAAGTATATTTTTAATCTTTGTAATTTTTTAAACTCATGACAAATGCAGACCTTTGAAATATTTTAAACTATGAAGACTTGAAAATTGACAAACATTGTAGAACAATAACTTTTGGTCAATTTTTTGAACTGATTTTATGTAAAGGGTGTCCACGATGAAATTGCCACACTATGAAATTGCTCTAACTTTTTAACCGTTGGGTAGAATTTAATGAAAATTTGGGTGGATTTAGTTCATAGTGCATTATTTACATCCTGCAAGTTTTTAAGTCCTGTGATCAAAACTCGCGGAAATGGAGTCGAAAGAACAGCTCGTGCGTGATAAAATCTTGCGCATTCATCACGAGAACAAGGATCTCTCGCATCGTTCCATCGCTAAAACGTTGGGAATCGCGAATTCCACGGTGTCGCGAGTGATTAAGCGGTTCGAGGAACGGTTGACCACCGATCGGAAGCCCAGAAGTGAAGGAAAAAGTATTCCGTACAACACCAAAAATCACAACCGCGTAGTTGGGGCCTTCAACCGAAATCCGAACGCCTCCGTTAGGGATGTGGCTAAGAAGCTGCACCTAAGCCGAAGTTTTGTCCAGAAGGCCAAAACTAAGGCTGGGCTTCGAACGTTCAAGGTACAAAAGGCCCCTAATCGCGACGAGAAGCAGAAAAAGTCCGCCAAAACCCGTGCCAGGAAGTTGTATCTCAACATGCTGACGAAAGTTGAATGCTGCATCATGGACGACGAAACATATGTGAAGGCCGACTTCAAACAGATCCCCGGCAACCTGTTTTTCACGGCCAAGGATAAGTTCAGCGTTCCGGAGCATGTCCGCACTCAGAAGATGTCCAAATTTGCGAAGAAATTCCTGGTTTGGCAAGCCATCTGCACGTGCGGGAAGCGGAGTGCACCTTTCGTGACCCAGGACACGATGAACGGACAGGTGTACATAAAAGAGTGCCTCCAGAAGCGGCTGCTTCCTCTCCTGAAGGCCCACAACGTCCCAACAATCTTCTGGCCGGATTTGGCCTCATGCCACTACTCCAAGGACTTGCTGAAGTGGTATGCGGACAATAAGGTCAATTTCGTGCCGAAAATGTTCAACCCTCCCAACACTCCGGAGCTCCGCCCCATCGAGAAGTACTGGGCGATTATGAAGCAGCACCTTCTTAAACGACCTAAGGTAGTGAAGACAGTCGAGGAACTGAAGAAAGTATGGGTTTACATGCAAAAAACGGTTGATTCGCAGGTTGTGCAGAATCTTATGGCCGGGGTTAAGGTCAAGGTGCGGGCATTTGCGTATGGACTGTAAATAAAATACGAGTAAAATGGTAAAATGAAGTTTAATAGTTATTTCTCAATCCCTGAAAATTTGATGGCAATCGGATGAAAACTCGAATTTTGCGAATCAATTTTGTGTGTGGCAATTTCATCGTGGACACCCTTTAATTTATATACAGGAAATAATATATGAGATATACTAAATAGTTTTCTGTGCACAACCAAAAGTTAACAAAAGTAATTTTTTGTAAATTTTCAATTATCCATAGTTTAAAATATTTAAAAAGTTTGCATTTTCCATGATTTTGTTTATAAGAAATGACGATGTACTTCTGAAATATTTGAGCTTCTACCACTTTTTTGGAATTTTTACTAAAATTACCATAAAAAATTACCGTATATATTTTGCTCAGGAAGCAAAACAAAAATAACAAGACTCAAAATGGCCGATTTTTGCAATAATGGTAATTGGAGGCGAACCAGCCCCAGGCTGAAAGCCTCCCTAATAAAGATAAATAAATTAATTAATTAATAATGGTAATGATTCCCATAACAAACAATTAAACGAAGTTTCCTGCAAATCGGAGAAGGTCGAATTTTTTTTACCTGGAACAATTATGCGTAATTTCGTAGATTTCTGACAGGTAAGGCTCTAAGACCATAACGCTTCCAGAAAAATACAAATTTCCCAACAAACATTGGAAGCAGAATAGAAGCATATTCAGGCAAAAAATATGATTCTTCAACTTAAAAAAAGTCTTATTCAGTCTTTAATTAGCACACATTGTTTGCTGGATACTTGTAAAACGAAACAGATTCTAACTGAATTTGTTTTTCTTTTTTTCTTTTTTTTTTTCATCGTTTTTAAAATTGAATAAACAAAGTACTGAATGCAAAAATACGAACGATTACTCGGCAGCATTAGCAATTCGATTATTATCCAATGTTTATAATGCGAATACCTCGTAATATCTCTACCGATGTGCCCAATCTTAGATCCATAGGCCAACATTAGAGCCCTTTCTACTATATACAAATTAACTACAAATAAAGACCGGAATAACTTCTATCAACTGTCAGTTTTATGCAGGACAGCATTTTCAAAAGGCAGGCATACTATTTCGGGCGCTTATGATTCACAAAAAAAAACAAACATCATCAATAATCCGCACAAAGGAATCAAATTTATATACTCAATATCAATGGAAAACAAGTTTACCGATCAAACGATAGGAAACACCCGGCTGTCCATTGTCTACCTGATTGTCGGTTTAGGTTTAGTAGCGTCGGAAATTGATTTTCTACGCCACAAGAAGCCGTTTTCTTTGAAGCCTTACTAAACACTCCAGCTTTACTGTAACAGGTAGCCGAGGCACTATTTCGAACTTGGATACCTGATACAACCTACTAGCTAGACTATCCACATTCTCGCTTCCATAATCCAAGCAAAGGGCAAGCGATGATTCATACTATCGCCCTCCTTCTATTCCCCCAACCCATTTCTGGTATCAACAACAGCGTTGACATCAAGTTCACACGCACCACCTCGCTCGGTTCTTTTGGCATGCAAAAGTAGGTAGGTAGGCAGAAGACGACGATGTAGAAAACAAAAACAACCCCCGGGAAAAGGATGCCATCCCGGATTGGCAAAATAACACCACCCGGACCCACCCAGACTTGCCTCCCCAAAATACACCAAACCACATTATATACTGTATACTGCGCTCGGGTTCTGACGGTTTACACAGTGATATCAAGTGGCGTATCCGAGGGTTACTGTTGTACTAATGGCAACTATCTTAGATTTGGTAGTGCATTTACGTTAGGTTCATTCTGGTAATCCATCCTTATAAATGGCACTGAAATGAAAAGTGGTGGTTCTAAATAAAGACAACAACTCTTCCACTTCAAACCCTAACTGACTACAACGCTGAAAATCGGTACATAATCACGCGCGTGATTCTCACGATATTGCACGAACCGGAGCACACGAACTCGGCCGGCATCGAGCTTTGGATCATTCATTCATTCCAGGCGTGAGTCAGTGGCTTGCTGTCCGTAGATCGGGATAGGTACGACTACCGCGTCGCGAAACAACACTTGACTTGCTCAGTATGCAGATGCAAAATCGGTTCGGTGCAGTAGCAGCATCCCGCGTGTGAGCTGTCTAGACTCAGCCAGCTGTGTTATGTACCACAGCTGAGAACAAACATCTCCTATAACATCTTCCGCCGGCGAGCCGAGAGTGTGCGTACAGTGGACAGCATCCAATATACTGATTTCGGTTGTAATCACGGATAGCATGAATCTGTTATCAACTGGAGCATGAAGAACGGCAGCGGTGACGGTCGGTACAGGAACAATGGTTTACCGCGGCTCATGCCGTTCCGTTTTGCGTGGGTGCATTAGAGTGCATCCCTTTCGGCCTTTTGTTTGACCTGGCGGGAGGTCATTTGCATGAAAATTGGATTCCCGATGGACGATAACGATGTGTACGGAAGCACAATAGTTGGATACAGTTCATAAACGAGCTGATGTAACTTCATCATGCGGATAATGAGTGTTAGCTAGCGAAAAGTGAGGATGAGTCATGACCTGTGAAAAACGTCCGTTCTACAGAGTGTCCGTTCGCTAGTGGTTTGTCGTGTAGGAACGATTTTTTCCTCCGTCTACGGATTGTGCGTTTACGGAGATCTCTCCCTGCTATGCTCAGTGACCGTGATTAATTTGTAGAGTGAAGAAAATTTCACAGCAGCAGAAGTGGTGATTGTGATTCAATTAGCAACTAGTAAACACGCTATCTGTGTTCATAGCGTGAATACTTGATTGACGACCGATATTGTAGAAGCACACTAGCTGGAAAGGATTTAGGCGTCTTATCGTTATAAAAGTACACATTTGATTACACCAACAATTAAAATGCCGATGAGTGATTATGTGATCATAAAGGTATGTTTCTTTTTCCATTACTCACAATTTAAAACAACAGTAGAAAAGCAGTCCAATTTGTACCCGTGCTAATGGCCGTTAATTATTGGACTATTTATGCGGAGCTTGTCAGAAGTTTGACCGTGAATAAAAGATAAGAAAGCGATGGAAAACCATTCCACTGTGTTGACCTGTTTAATACACGGGTGCAATTTGGACAGTCTTCCCCTATAACTCCGTTTGCGTTGTTTAGCGCCACGAACAATGGATCTTGATATGATCTGTCGCGGCAAATTTGACTGTTAGACAATAGTCTTAACCACCCTTAGCTATAAAGCAAGACCATGTTGGAGGCGGCTGTTTCGACTTCCCTACGCATAGAGTTAGAGTATGATTGTGCTTGCTACTTGCTACACAATGCAAACCATGGCAGCCATTCTAACTATCAATTAACAACTGTGGAAGTGTTAAAAGAACACTAAGTTGAGGGCCAGCGTAAAGTTCCAGTGGGAACGTAATAAAGTCAAAGAGACAATATATTTAACCGTCATTTGAGCCTGATTGAAAAGGGTTATGTTTAGTATCTTTGTATTTGTAACAATGATGATTTTCCATAGTGAAACATAACACATTTATAATGCATACTGATGCATTATGAATTTGATATGTTTCACTATGGAAAATCATCATTGTTACAAATATAAAGATACTAAACATAACCCTTTTCAACGATTAATTCTTTGTTGTTAATAGAACTCCCAGCTGCTTAATGCAGACTGAGCAATTCTTATTTTTCAATTGGTTTGTTCGTTAGGCTCAAATGTCCAAAACAGGGCTGGTAGCGCTTATGTGATATAATAGAAGTGACTTTAGTGACTAAAATTACGGAAATAGTGACCAAATAATGACTTTTGAATAATACATAAGTAACCAATAGTTGCATTAATATGATGACTCAGAAACTCAAATAAGGTTTAATATTGAAATAAACTGTTTTTGAATTCCTCTAATTATATCGAAACTCTCAACGGAATCTCCTATTAAGAGCATTTGAAGTGCAATTTCCAGATTTTCCCAAAGATTTTTTTAAATGTTACTGTTAAATAGGGTTAAATAGATCATTACAACGACAGCATTTTTTTATCGAAGATTTTGAATTTGATTCTGCCATTGAAATCTTTAAAATTTTGATATAACTAAGAATATTTAATAATAAAAAATTCAGAATGATCTCAAGAACTTTTTTAGAACTATTCCACTCCTCTTTAACTTTGCTTCTAAAACAAGCTTAACAAAAATAATATTGCATTCTGGAAATTCTTCGCAGAACAATGGACAACATGCTTGGAAATAGATTATTTTCGTAGTTGGAGATGCTGAACGTGGACATTTTAATTGAGTATAGAGTTGATAGTTCCGTTGTACTACGGCAGTGATAAAATTGAATATAGAAAGTAAAAAAGCGAGCTTAAAACAATTTAGAGGAAGGTACGAATCGGGTAGAGCATCCCTTTCACCAAACTCATCCGTTGATGAGAAATAGTAAGGGGTGTTTTACCCCGCCACACTGGCAAAAGGGATGATCGCCGATTTGTTCATATACCTCCGATGTGCGGAAACAGTTCTATCAATTGTTTCACACTCAAATCGCCATCTGACGTAAGCATCTACCTGATTGCTATACCTGATTCGTAACTTCCTAAAAAATGTCCTTTGCTCGCTTGCTACTTCTACTTTCTATATACAATTTTCACACTACCGTACTCAACTCTATACTTTCATCTCCTAATCTATCGTATAAAATGTTCACTTTAAGTCTGATATTTGACGTTAAGCATCTCCAACTATTTAAATCGATAACTTCATGCATAAATCATAATTAGTTAGAATAGATTATATTTGATTTTTTAATTAATCTTCCAGGATTTCCATGAAGGTTCTTCGCATAAATCCATTTTAAATTTACTTGAATTCTCCTTAGAATGTCCATGAAATTAACATAAGAAATATCATAAATTTCTGCTTAGAATAATCTTGAACTTCTCCCCTGAATTATATTGGAAATTCAACTCGTATTCTCCTCAGAATTCCCATGGTATTTTCTCAGAATTCTCAAAACAAAAATCCATCTCAGAATACCCTTGAAACTCTTCGAAGAATTCCTTTGAGAATGAATCCTCAAAAGCCGATTGAAATTCTTCTTGGAATTTATTTCGAACTCTTTAGAGTTCCCTTGAAAGTATCCTCAGAAATCATCCCAGAATTCATTTATAATTTCCTTAGTGTCAAGTACTCAATTTAAAAATGTTCTTGATATTTTTTCCATTTCACTCTATTTTACTTGTGAGAAGTGACTTTAGTGACTATTTTTAGGGAAGTAGTGACTTTAGTGACTTTTTGGTTTGAAAAGTGACTTTTTAGTGACTGACTTCAAAATAGTGACAAAGTCTCTAAAAAGTGATCTGCTACCAGCCCTGCCAACAGGACTTCACGAAGCCGAGACTCATTCAATAATTTAATAATTACACTAAAATATTAATGAGGGGCGTTTATGAGTTCTTCTTACTCTTCCTTGGAGGCGACTTGAGTTTAGCTTCCACTTTCATCCGAGTGTCTGTTCACTATGGAGGTGCGGCTTAAAACGGTGTCTGTTCTCCATGTTAGGAGTGGCTGACAAAATAATGTAATTTGTCCAAATAACGCATATGAAAATAAATTGCCAGTGGTGGACACATTTTTGTTAAGTCGTTAGCCGTTGATCAATACAGTTAATTATATGTTAACGGATTAACGTTTCCGTTAAACATAAACCCCGTTAACGGATTGATCAACGATCGTTAAATTGTGGTTCGTTAAATCATTAAAATTAATGTTTTTTTCCTCGATTTGTTTTCCGTCGATCTTGCTTTCCGTACTGAGCACCAATGCTACCAACGCCAGGGAGGCAGCTACCACACCTAGACCCTACCGATCGACCTATTAACTCCATAGACCGGGGACCAACGACTTTACTTCCCCCCCGAAGGAAGGCGTGATCAGAGATGTTATGCCTCATAAAATCCCCGCGGCGCTGACTGGGATTGAACCCAGACATTTTTGGGTAAGAGGTAATCACGCTTACCACTACACCACCGGCACAGCTGAACGCTCACTTAAATTGTATCTATAAACATTCTGGGATCCAAAGCTGAATTGAATGATGCAGATTTTATGGATGTAAAAGTTGTCAACGACGTTTTCAAATAAATCAACTCTCCGATCCCGTTATGTGCAGCGTTGATCGACATAGTCAAAGCTATAAGTGCTGGTCTTCTGGATAAAAATTTCGCTCGGTTATAGATTTTTAAAGGTTACTGAAAACCTGAAAACAATATTCATACATTTAACGATGAGGGCAAGGTTGATAGAATCCACAAATGACCGTTATTATGGATGACTTACCCGAGCAAAGTAAAATAACAACCTGATAACATCTTGAAAACAAGTCTTGTTATTCCAGATATCATATTGTTTTCAGTTGTTATCGCATAACTAATTTAGTTATCAACCTTGACTAATTTTGTTATCAGTTGTGAAAGAGTATTAAATGATGCAAGAAGCTTCAAATATTTTCCGCATGAAAAGAAAAAAAAAATTGCCAATCACATTACAGTTATCAGTGTAAGCCTTTAATACCAAATCGATAAAATTATTTGAAATTTGTTGAATAAAATTGCATGGACCACAGGATTTGTTATCAAGATGTTTTCAATGATAACTGAATCAGTTATTTTTGTGATATTCAAGGAGTATTATTTTGATAAAATTTGTGTTACGTTGGCTGTTTATTCAACCACAATGATAACATGTTCAGTTATCAAATCTTGATAACCGGGTATCAGAACTTGTTATCAATTTGGTATAACCCTTTCTTCGGGTACCTTGCCACTTGAAATTTTTGATGGACCGAATCTCAGAAGCTACAATGATATTGTGTACGAAATTATGTCAACATTTGCGTTACCAATCAAGCTAAGGCCTTGTTGTCCTCTACTGTCCACTCTACTCGATCCATGACCTCCGTCTCCACTCTACTCGATCCATGGCCACACTTCGCCTGCCTCGTAGTCTGTGATGAGTCCGCAGGTCGCCTTCTACTTGGCCTATCCACCTTTCCCGCTGCGCGCCTCTTCTTCTTGCTCCTGTTGGATCTCTTTCAAGAACCATTTTCAACGTACCCAGCCCACCGTAGTCGCCCAATTGTTGCAATGTGGACGATGGATAGTTCTCCCAGCAGCTGCTGCAATTCGTGGTTCATTCGCCTTATCCACGTTCCGTCATCCATCTGCACTCCACCGTAGATGGTACGCAATACATTCCGTTCGAAAATACCAAGGGCGCGTTGGTCCTCCACGAGCATAGTCCAGATCTCGTGGCCGTAGTAGACCACCGGTCTAATCAGCGGCTTGTAGACAGTCACCTTCAGGCGGCGGCGAATTTTATTCGAACGAAGCGTCCTCCGGAGTCCAAGGTAGGCACGATTCTCTGCCATAATGCGTCTTTGAATTTCTCTGCTGGTACCATCTTCGGCGTTCACCAGTGAACCCCAATACACGAACTCGTCGACCACCTCGATTTCGTCACCGTCAATCTGAACTCGAGGTGGGAGGCTAACATTGTCTTCCCTAGTATTTCGTGTTCTATGCGTTGATGGCAAGTCCAATCCGCCTAGCTTCAACCTTCAATCTGATGTACGTTTCCGCTATCGTCTCAAAGTTCCGTTCCATGATGTCGATGTCATTGGCAAAGTCAAGAAGCAGGATGGATTTCCTGAAGATCGTGCCACTTGTGTTTATCCCAGCTCTTCTGATCACACCTTCTAACACGAAGTTGAATAGCAGACACGGAAGTCCATCACCTTGCCGTAACCCCCTTCGAGATTCAAAGGGACTCGATAGTGTCCCCGATACTTGAACAATGCACATCACTCGATCCATCGTCGCGTTGACCAATCACGACAGTTTATCTGGAAATCCGTACTC